CAACACGATGGCTAACTCCTCCCGTTTTGTCGTGTGATAATTTTGTTCCGCCGCCACCAACTTTCGAGAATAGAAAGCAACTGGATGTCATCCATCCTCCCATTCTTGTTGAAGTATGCCACCTAATGTTGTACCTGATGCGTCAGTGGCCAACTTGATAGAACGGTTAGGATCATACCACTTGAGAATAGGTGCGTGTAACAAAGCATCTTTCAATGCTTGAAAAGCTAACTCTTGAGTTGTTCCACATCTCCACTTTTGACCTTTCCCTAACATGGAAGTCAAGGCCTGAGCTAGTCGAGCAAAAGCTTTCACAAATCTACGATAGAATTCAGCGAGCCCTAGAAAACTCTTCAATTGAGTTTGATCCTCAGGTGCTATCCATTTCTGAATGGCATCTATCTTCTCACTCATCACTTGGATTCCTGTAGCTGTAACTCTATGACCCAAGTAATCTACTTCTGACTTGCCAAATTCACATTTTGAAGCTTTGGCATACAATTGATTGTCTCTTAAAACTTGAAGTACCTTTCGTAAATGACTTCTATGATCACTCAAAGTTTTGATATACACCAATATATCATCTAGAAAAACAATGACAGATTTATCTAGATAATGGCGAAAGATATCGTTCATCAATCCCATTAATGTAGCTGGTGCATTAGTGAGACCAAAAGGCATCACCAGATACTCAAAGTGTACATACCTAGTACGAAAAGCTGTCTTGTGAATATCTTCATCTGCAATTCGAATTTGATTGTAGCCGCTTCTCAAATCTAGCTTGGTGAAGTACTTCGCTCCTTGAAGTTGATCAAACAAATCATCCATACGAGGTAATGAATATTTGTTTTTCACCGTTTGTTGATTCAACCCGCGATAATCGATACATAGTCTCATGGATCCATCTTTCTTCTTCACAAAGAGTACTGGAGCTCCATAAGGTGAAACACTTGGTTGAATGAATCCCTTGCTCAACATCTCCTCCACTTGAGCTTTGCATTCTTCCAATTCGTTTGGAGCCAAACGATATGAAGGTTTGCAAGTTGGTGTACTTCCAGGTATCACCTCAATCTTGTGATCTACTCGCCTCTTTGGTGGTAATCCTGCAGGTAGATCATCTAGAAAAACATCTTTATACTCCATAAAAATGTCGTTCAAGTACTCCGGGATGTAAGGTTTGGCGGTGAACCCAATATCTCTTATAAGTCCAAGGAAACATACATCATCTCTAGAAATGGATGTTGTACCCATCACAAAGAGGGGTAAATTTCTATTCTGAAATCTAATTCTATCTCGATAGATCTTCCATCCACTACTTGTAATCACTTTTCTTCTCCAATCTACCTTCGCATTATATTGTTCCATCCATGGCATTCCAAGGATGACATCATATCGAGCTAAATGAATTACTCTCCATTAAGTGCTCTCCTTGTACCTACCTATGGATAATTCTACACTCCGTGGTAGTGTTGCTATCACTTCAGTTTGTCCGTTTGGCAATTCAACTTCTTCACTCACGTCCTTCATCAACATCAAACCTAACTTCATAGCAACACTCCTTGATAGAAAATTCTCAGTTGATCCAGGATCTATTAAAACTCTCATCTTGTGTCCTTTCATGAAACCATCAGTGACAATGAGTTGAGCTTGCTTCTTACTCCTTCCATGAGTTCCCAACCATTGCCTTCTTCCAACGTCGCCTTTTCTTCGCTTTGTAGAACCAGTAAGGCCGCGAGGCAAGATTACTGTTGATCTTCGTTTCCCGAAATTGCTTCCTCCACCTCTTCATACTCTATCCACTCCATATTGTTGAACGGTCGTCGCTGCATGGGCCGTCCTCCTTGTTGTGTCGTCCGAACTCGACAAAACTTGGCTCTGTGACCCATTCGTCCACATGCATAGCATTGGCGATTGTCACGAACTCCAGCTCCTCCTCAAACCATTCCATTATTTGCATAACCTTCTTGCAAATTTGGAACTCCTGATCGCCTAATCTCACCTCCAAATCTTGGTGGTGATACTCTTGTTGGTGCAAAACCTTCTCTACGTCGAAGGTTTTCCAACTCCATCGGTGTTGGACCAGATGGATCTCTAAAATTGCTCACTGGTTCACCGTGTGTGACACCAAAAGCACCAGAAATTCGTTGAGCAATTGCGATTTTTTCATTCACAGTCGATGGATTGCTTACCATTGGCTGAACTTGGGAAACTTGAACTTGGGGTTCAATTTCCATCTCTCCAACTCTCTCTCTCTCTACTATCTCACTCTCTAATGCAAAGATTTTATGTTCCATGGCTTGCTCCTTGGTATGCCCATCTACTATCGCTTTTCTCAACTACTTCATCTCCGTCATGATTGCATTGAGAACTTCACCCATATCAATTGATGTCCCCATGCTTTCTCACACTCCCTCTAATACAAAGTGAGTATAATCACTATGTGAACTTTCAACAAAGGAGTCACAAAAAGTGCAGGTGACTCTATCACAGCTCTATAGTACTCCTTTCCATAATTCCTCACAAGAAAATCTCTCCATATCCTCTTCTGTCTATATACTGTTCTAATCTCTACATAAGTGCTGAATCGAAACGGAACACGTGGTTCGCGATTCAAATCCATGAAACATTCAGTATAGAATGTATATAGTACAATCCCAAGTCTCTCCATAAGTAACTATTGGAAGAATCAATGGCACTCTTGACTCCATCACTCTAGTCATAAAATTTGCACCCCAACAAGCCACAAGGTACATTCGAAAATGATGCTTCTCTATTGAACGAAGGTGAATATCGAATAGGTTAGGAATTGGCCAATGTGGTACTGGATTCCTGTCAATCCCGTCCATATCTGCAGAAACACAATTTCCCCCTGCCACCTCTCTCTACATGCAAATGAATGACCTCTGCCAGCCTCTATACACTCTCAAGACTACATTTCATTATCACTCACTTGTTATTCCATGAGGGGTAATCTACACTCAACGAAAGAGCAAGGTCGCTCTGATACCATTGTAACACTAGGGTTTAGAGAGAAGCTCACTCGAAAATAGAAACGTAAACTCTGAAGATGAGATACTAACAATGGTTCTACTTTCCCTTATATAGCTCTCACCAACAAGTACAATGTGATAAGATCTAATCCCCACTATCCATCTCACTTCTAGTGGATGGATGACGTGGCAGATAACCCTAACAAGCACACGGATCGCTGACATGGCGCATCCAACTAACACACTAACTAACACACTCAATTCTTACCTACAAGCATACGGATTGCTGACGTGGCACTGTCAACTAACACATCCACTCTGTACCTACCAAGTGCGCGGATCGCTGACGTGGCAGCTATGACTAGTGCACACTAAAGTATCTACATCAATATTCAGAGTAACCTCTACTTTAGTTTTAACTAGCTAAAGATGGTTACAGGGACCCATCAAATTTCAATTTACTCGATGGAACACCACTTACAGTGTGTTATCGCTGAGTTCTAGTATGTATTCTAGTACGTGTATGTTTTTGAAAGAATATATAGCAACTCTTTAGAAAGCTGATTGATCATATTAATATATTACCGTGACATCCACCTTCCGAGATCTCAAGTCGAATAGAATTGGGTGCCCGAAGGTAAACTCTTCCTAAGTCAGCGCTCGATCTAGCAAGAATACAAATTGAAACTTTTTTCTCTTGACACCGGCCGCGGACCCAGCTATTTTTTCATCTTTCACATCTTACCGTCTCATTCTTCGAAAAAAAGTGGAGTATGCGAAGGTCAAAACGGGCTCTTTTTTCATCTTTCACATGTTACCTTCCTATTCTTCCCAAAAAACGGTTAAACAGGACCAGACTATCCGAAGGGCAAAACGAAATATCACTTGCCGAAGGTAACACGAAATGTGATTCACGAATACTTTTCTGTTCATACTAGACCATTGGACACATCAAACAAATATCTCTTATTTTTCTTAAAGTTATTTTCTTACATTGATTGGCAAGCTTCCCTTTGGACAAAAACACATCCAATACACTACAATGTTGGAGTTATCCAGTAATTCACAGAATTAGATTTCGCTCTCTCACAACTAGTTCCCATCCGATCACTCGCCAAACCCCAAGTTCATCCTAAACCCTAAAATAAAAGTCGTCAACTGCGAGCTGTAAATCCCAACGGCCGCGACAGATTTGTTCTTTCATCGGCGAAGAATGCCTGCTCGATCTAATCGACTTCAGTCCACATTTGTGACCGGACAAGTGGCCGAACACTAACAAAACTCCCTAGGACATGAAGTAATCGTTCAATTCCCGGTTTCAAGAATGAATAAATGACAGAATCGAGCTCGGATGTTCTCAGTGTAGTGTTTCGTTCCCAACAGTAATCGGTGAGCCAATCGGACATTCGAGGAGAACTCTTCTCGTGCTCCTGTCACCAGAGGAGTTGCGTTCATCTGAGGAACAAGATCTCCAATTGACCGGCTGCAGACCAGCGCAACTCTGCTGCTTGCGAGAACCGAGTGCACCTGAAAACCACAGAATTCTCGACATCTCGTACTCGGATGTAACACTGAGCCAAGAATGCCCGATGCCCAGACAACTAATGGCGAAGATTTGATAGTACAGATATGCGGTATTACATTGACTAAGGCCCAAGCCCATCTTCCTCTGAAGGAGAGGCAAGGTCTCATGCTCCACGACGAAGCGGTGAATTGCTTGAGTGTCCAAGGCTGATTACTGGGTAGAACCTAAGGACACAACTCACACGAGATGCACTATCCTGACGTGCGGATGGAAGTAAAAACGTTCGAAGGTTGCTTCTGGTTGTCGCTGACAAAAATTGCGCAAGGTTGTTCTTATATCTCGAACACCATGTTTGGAAAATAGCATTCCTTCCTTCGGGAACAATAAATTCCCGTGCTTTTTTATTGCCATCGATCAAAGAACCATGCAACGTTTGAAGATGTACAGCAAAGTATCGATGCCGCGACGGGAGAATTTCGCATCCGTCATTTTTTCTTCAGAATGTAAATGTCAGTCTCAGCGTTTGCGTCTTTTGGGTCGAATTCGCTGCGGTCGATTTTCTGGATGTCGAAGTAGTCGGGAAGCAGGCGCCAGAATAGGGCATGGGCATCGGGATCCCGAAGCTGGTAAGCGAGGAGGATGCAAGTTTCGGCGTTCGAGAGATCGGAGAGGGCGTTGATCAGAGGCATGACGATGGAGTCCACATACACGACGTCGGCAGCGATGACCACGTCGAAAGGAGGCTTCACAGCCGCAGTCTGCTTCGCATTTCCCCACAGCAGCTGCGCGGTCTTCACCTTTCCTGCACTGCAACCACCTTTGCCCGCATTCGCCAGCGACGTGGCGGCCACATTCCTCTTCACGTTCCGCTTCAGAGCTCCCATCACCGCCTGAATGTCGGTCAGAACGACATTCAATCCCAACAGCGCTGCCCCCAAGCCCGCTGCACCGCATCCTGCCCCGACTTCCACCCCTCTCCTCCCTTGCAGCTCGGGAGCCGATCCGCTCTTCTCCCTCACGCATCGATCCAGCCACCGCACCAGCGCCAGCGATCCCCTCCACACCGACGTCCCGACCTCGAACGAGCTGTTGTCCTGCTCGATTCGCAGCTTCTCCCCATTCGCAACCAGCTCCACCACCGGCCACTCCCCATACCCCATCACTGACCACAAATTTCACCTCCGATTGCTGAATCCTGACTCCAACCCCGAATTCAGCTCGACCCCTGACAAACGACACTGAAGCTGAAGCTGCCACTGATGTAACGCAGCCACGCTTCCATCGAGCAATTCCTTACGCCAGTACGAGTACGAGCCCGAGCCAGACGTCTTAGAGTGCTGGTGTAGTTTGTGTATGAAGGAAGGAGGGTCGGGGTTTGGGCTTTGTCCTATATGCCACTACGTCAGAAGGCTGTACAACAAGAACTCTGACTTCGATGGAACCAGCACAAAACAAGGACTGGAGTTCAGTCACAACGGAAGCATGAAGGAGGTCTCAGACCACGAGAGACTAAGCAGTGAACTTACTGCATGTGCCCACATTATAGTGGACAACAAAACGTTTAAATATTTTACATGTCTCTTCAAGTGTCAGAGAACGAGATTTTTATGGACATGATTTACAATCAATGTACATCTGAACAATGCGTTTGGGGTTGATCTGGTATCCGATGTTCGGCAAGCAGAGAGTGCTGTTGCCGAAGCCTTGTTGTCTCAAGCAGGACTGTCATCGACACTTGTTTGTCCCCTTGGTGCGCTTCCCCTCTCACTTCCTGACCCTCGAGGAGACTGAGGCTCACTTGCCCATTGGGAACCCTCACCAGCTCGGGAAAGCCACTGCTCTACGCCATTTGTGGCTACAATTGGACTGACGGACCCAGAGAGCGGTGATGGGGACCGTGAACCAGCCTCGTCCAGTTTCCTACTTAACGAGCGAGAAGTTCGTTTCCTGCTTGATCTTCCTGTAATCTTCCTCCACCATGAAACTCCTGCACCAGTCAAGCTTGCCTTCGTTCTATGTTTTACTGCTGCTTCGGTCCCAGAATGTGAAATAGAAGACGAGCGGTCTGGAGAATTCGCATCCCTTAAAGTTTTCCTGCTCGCAGAGGCTGAAAACAATGATGATCTGACCAATGATTTACCTCTTGGTCCAGAACGCAAAGAAACAGAGTTACGGGCAATGCGTGACGACCTCGCACTCGGCATTGCTCCAAGCTTTGCAGAGCTGGTGACAGAGGAGCGAGAAACACTTGAAGGAGTAGCAGTTTGCCTCTCCGAATGAGGAGAAGGTCCGCTTTCTGGTCTTCCTCTCACTCCCCACAAGTAGTCTTTGATCGCTAGAGCTGCGCTATAGCTGGCTTTGATGGAGGACCCAACCGGCCCTCCAAAGGATGTGCGAGCAGTCACCATTGAATCAGAACCTCCTCCAGGCAGTGAGATCGATGTGCGAGAAGTACTTCTTGGTTCTGAGCTTAATGAGCCCCAGATAGACGAGCCACTACTAGGCGTTAACACTGAAATCATCGATGACCCTGCAGCTACCGCTACATTTGGGGGCATTGAAAAGCCCCTGATCAAGGCAATAGGTGCCCTGATTTCATCTTCTGACTCGTTTTTCGAACTACCTTCTGCTACTAGGGACGTGCGAGAAGTTGTCCGTGTACCTGCACTCTGGTTCCCCCAAATAGAAGCCACCCGTCCCAGCACAGTAGAGATAGTGCTAGCTCGAGGACGACTTGCTCTTGGAGCTTGCCGTGACATCGTTTCAGGCAATAAGGAAGGTCGAGGCATCTGATCCTTTGGCTGACTTGACCTCCTTCGAGCTGTTTGCAGAACTGAAGAGCGACTCTGACCACCGGGACCAGGCTCTTGCCCTTCGTTTGCCAATGGAAAAAGAAACTGATAGCAAGAGGCACACAATTGAGTATATCAAACCGACAGTGACTGTACTTAACATACTTGAGCATATCAGAATACACGTCTCACCAAGTCATGGAAGGACATTCAGTAGCATGCCAAGCTGAAGAACGTACCAGAAGCGCAACGCACAGTGATTACACAAGTCTTAGGACATCACATTTCATTCCAGCAACGCGTAAAAGTCAAGGGACATCATTCATGACTAGTTTATTTTTGGATAATCAATTTTTCCAGAGTCAAGGTCTGATTTCCTCATGGACCCACTGTTCTCTCCTCTTCTATAATTTGTCTCGGTAGGAATGTTAACTGCTTCCACTTGAACGGGGGAGGCGGACGCTTCGGTCGATCCTCGGAAAGAACTAGGTAGTCCCACCTTAGCAGCAGGACCTGAAAAACTGCCTCCAGACGGTTGAACTGTCTGCACCCAGGAGAAACGACAACTGAGTGAGCTCTAGGCAAGCTTCAAAGGAAAGAGGTAAAGATACATCTTCTAGCTGAATGCATGCCCTGATGGCTTTCAATTGGGCAAAATACGAAGGAGATGACGTACATATTCAAAAGGTCTAAAGCTCAAAAGACAGAGCAACTTGGGAGGCACCTGTCGAACGCGAGTGAGTTTCTCGGAGGCTTCTCTCCGTTGCATACCCATTTCGTGTTTCGTAAGCGCAAGAAACTGGCGTGACTGGACCAATTTCGATTGCAGAAGGACGACCCCGAATACGAGAAGGAGAATGACTCCCAGCAATACCGCTGGATTTGTTAACCACTGGACAGTGAGCCACAAACCTGATGGTGCTTTCTGAGATTTCAACACCGGGGGACAGAAAGTTCAGTTACCTCCGTGAAAAAAAGTGTTAACAGTATATACAAAGAAATATTTCTTCTAGTCAGATCTTATCAACTGAAAGATTGTCCGGTAAAAAACATAGACGTTTTGTCGGTTTGACATCGGGGCACATTAGCTACTTAGGAAAAACGACCCGCAAGCTCACAGCTAATGAAAATAATTTTTGTAGAGGAATCGGCTGAACAGAATGTGACACGAATAACTGATCCAATACAAACTAGAAAGATGTGCTATAGGGCCCAAACAGGAAATGTCGTTTTTCGGAGGCCAAGTAAAGCAATATGTGAATTGCATTCAAAAGCGTGCCTCCGAAGAGTGAAGGCACGCTTTAAAGTGATCATCATCAAATAGTCTAGCCTTTACTCACCTGGATGTAGCTAGTCAGCACTGTATACATGGATACGCGTTCATGTATAGGTCCACAAAACCCACTACTCCTTTGCATCACATTCAAAGTCGCCGGAATGGTTGACAAGATGAGAGTGAGTAGTAGTAGACCATAGGTAAGGGATGATGTGCGTGATGCACTGTGCGCTTTTTCTACGGGTCCGCAAGTCCTGAACAATGCAAGCTGATCTCCGACGATTGCAGCAAAGAAAGATGTATCAGAGTACGTCCTTACAGTGGCTTACGAATTTTCTATAAACGTCGTAAACTGTCCAAAATGGTTGCTTCGGGCCACCAGTTTTGCCAGCAGGTTAATGATGGGACATCAATTCTGTCCGCAATGTCTCTTTAAAAATAAAATCTGACAGAACAATTTTTAGCCAAAAGAAAAAGTAACATCTCTGACTTAGCGGAAAGAGGTGCTTCATGGTGTGCCCGGCTAAACAATAAAAGAAATCTGGGAAATGCAGGTGTCTAATTTAAGATCGAAGTCTTAGACAACAGCATAGGCAGTCAAATAGATGTAAATGATAAATTGTCCGTTTACGAAGCAGAGCAGTGGCTTCGACGGCAAGAGTGGGAACTAAGTGTGAAAATTTTACGAGTTAGACATTACAAGCATACTAGTAATTCATAGCATTACTAGAGCAAGACATTGCCAAAATCAAGAATAGATTGAAAGACAATGAGATAATGGGTAATAAGTAGCTACACAAGTATCGTTCATTTAGTATTATCGACCGCAGTGCCAATTCACGACATACTTTCCTTCCTTCTCCAGCTTATCAAAGATGCGAGCAGGTTGTAAAGGTGAAGATACTTGCCCTCATTCCATACCAGGTGAGCAGATTTGAGAAAAAGCCCAATACCGTCGCCAAAGGACTGAAGCATGAGCCCACCCAAACAAGCGATTGCACATACACAATATCGATAGCCATGTCCTCTATATAGAGTTGTCGTTTATTCTGCACAATGGCGCAAAGCCGTAAGGATCGTCAAGAAGTGGACACTAAGCACGAAGACAGTAATCATTATCATTCGCCTGTCAAAGCCTGGCTCAGAATTAAGGAGTCTAAGATGTATATGTTCTAAATTGGAAACTAAATCCCACTCTAACTAAATTTGGCTATCAAATAGACAACGGTAGTGAGATGTTCGTGAGGAGATGCATCTGGTGGTCTCCGTCGACCTCCTTCCACTCGAAATTTGCATTATCTTTCTTTCCCCTTTTGACTCTTTAGATATTCTGGTCTTGAATGAGAAGACAAAGTGTACAATCAGGAAACTCAAGAAGACAAACATACCCCAGAAGTGAGCCACACATAGCCGAATCCGTAAATCACTTCGTAAGCATTATTAATTAACGTAGTCATGAAAATGAGGCGCAGCAATTGTGTTCCAACAATATTCTCAGTGCAGGCCGGCAAGCAATAATTGATCTGCACCACAGTCCAACCGCAACTTCCTTATCATTGATTTATAGATGAAATGAGGCAGGAGTACATGCTCTCTGGAACCCTCGATCTGTATGCATTCATCTCTACGCAATCTACTTGACCAACTGGTTTTTAAAAGGCAGTATCTGTAGATGTGATGTGAATGACGACATCACTAAAAAAAAAACTTGCAAAGTTGAAGATGGGCCACAACTGAACAAGGTAGGAACACCATAATCATGTGAAGATATCTATCGCTTAAACCAAATACATAAGAAATTCAGAAAAAAAATTTGAAGTATAGGTATGCGGACATGCAACGTTGTATTGCCAATTAAGAACGACTGACACAAGGGAAATCAATACAGTGCTAGATGGCTCTCGACTCATGGATCAAAGAGTGAAAGCGGAAATTTTCTCAGTCTTGTAGATGCAGTACAACTAACATGGCTACCGATCTCACCACAACACTGTCCTAGACTGACAGGGAGTGCTGTGACTGAAGTAAAGGCAGCTCAGCCTCTACATTACTCGAAAATTCTTTAAGCCTCAGGAAAGTACAGGGCGACAGTACTTACATCTCTATCTGTGCAGATATTCCACTGGGTTAGATTGGTTGTTTTACAGCAAGTAAAGCCTTCATCGCACTTTTGTTCACCTAAACAAGACTCAACAACGACGTTGTTTTCTCTAAGCTGCAACGTGTGGTCGAGCATCATAAACAATCTGCGGAATGCCAATCAAGATCAGGAACGTTATTGCGTGATCAGCTATGCTTCAATGACTTCCGTTGGTGAATCCAAAGATTGAACACATAAACTGATTTGACAAGTTTGCTTATGTCTGAAGACTGTTCAAAGTCTTGGGAACCATTGATGACTTGATTTATTTCGCTGCATAAGAATAACGCAGGCAGCATACTCGTGAACTTTGACACACCAAAAAGACTCTCATAAAGTGAAAGGGAACCTGTAATATAGAGATGCTAAATTAAGAACGCGAACACAAAAAAGCTTCATCAAGACCACTCGTTCCGCTGTAGCTGGTTTGAAGTCCTCCATGTCAACAAGTACACGAATAAGCATGGGTGTAACAATATTGAGCACTGATAACAGCACTGCCTGCGCATAATTACTTCCTGTTCCACAAGTTCGGATTTGTTCAAGATCACTCCCATTACTGAAAAAGCGAGGCGATACAAATATCTTAAAAGAAGATTACAAGTGGTGGTGAACTGAAAAGTAGCCTGGTTGTCATCACAAAGGATAATGTATTTCTCTTGTAGGCTAGAACTGGTAAAAAGTCCATCACTGATTAGTGATGAGTTCTGCTTGCTTATAATGCAGCAACCTTGTTGCAGTGGCTAACATTAGCTGCGTAGGGAAACTCAAATTTTAAGTTCCATAGCTGTTCCTTCACCCTTTCGGCTTTCTGTTCTGTGGCCATTGACCGTAAAACGACAAGAATATCTTACCGAATGCGGCGTTCACTCTCTCCGCCTTTGTGACAAGTTCAACGACAACGGCAACAGTTCCAGCCATCAACAAGGGCCACAAAACAAACAGAGCTGTAGCCCTCTGCGAAGTTGAAAACGACTGAGAAGTTAGTATACAGCTCCGTGGATAGAAAATGCTATTTAAAATGCAGCTTAGGTCTAAATGTGGTGCTTCAAAAGACGGACATCTTAGGTCACAGTCAGACAAATCATTCCGCAATAAGTCTGCCCTTTCAAACCCTCCACCCTTTGAACATCGATACTGGATTCCGAATGGCACAAAACGTTCACCCATACAACAGTGATGAGCCTTCACTTTTGAAAAAGAAGACACAGCCATGGAATTGCCCAAATATTGAGTTCAAAATATGCGGCAAAGCCGAATTGCCTGTATTATGCTCGCTTGGCTCCATAAGTAGGTTTGTAGCAGCCAATGCAAGCACACAGAGCCCTCTGATATAGCCCAAGAACCCCACTAGGTGCTAACAATTTAGCATAATCAAACATGACAAGGCCTGCAACTGACCACATAGTGAAGCACCACCTGAGGCAGTCCTTGCAACTCAAGTGTGGGCTAATGAAACTCTCGTCATGCCATTAGTTTGCTGCAGAAAACAACCTTCGCTGACATGAGGCGATCCCTTAGGCTATTTGTCTTCTCGTGAGCTCCGGCATCAGCCAGCATCTCCCTCAACTGCATTCGTATACCCCTGCGAAGCTTAGAGGCTGCCTGTTGCACAAACCACATTGTGGCATAAGAGAAAGATGACGTTAACCCAAAATCTGCACTTCATCCAGTTACTTCCTACGTCAACAGAGTTGGATCTTTGTTGGTTGATCAAATGCTTAAAGTCCTTAATATGCATAAAGCAGTATCGTCGATATTAAGAATCCGGCTAGGTGAGAAGATCTTAAACTATCTAAGGCCAAATGTCCCGGCGTTCAAACAACCGACTATTGCGTTGAATCACTCACGTCTATGTTAATAAGGTGGAAATCCCAAGATGCAAACACAAGAGAAGAAAATGGGTAGAGGCGAGCAGCCATGGCGATATCCCCACTGCTCATTATAGTTCCAGCAATTCTGCATTCAATGCAATTGGTACTGATCACGTTTCACAATCACACGGGGAAGGCTACTTTCACTTACAGGTACGAATATTATGACAATGGACTTGACCGTGGAGCAACTGTGACCCAATTTTTCCAGCTAAGATCACGGAGCTGATTTAGAAAGCAATATTAACTATCAAGAAAAAATAATGTGGAGTAAATTTTGCTAGATTCGAAACTCTTTCCAACTTTTGATGAAGAAATGGACTCCAACGTTCAGAATTTGGACTGCAAGCGTCCAATAGAATTGATACATTGAGAAAACAATACCTGATCAAGACACAAAGAAAACTAAAGAGGAATGTCGCAGCAATCATCACACCATACATATAGTCAACTCGGTACCATCCTTCCTGCTCAGCTCGAGTGTAGGTATAACCGCCATAGTAAACAAACGACTTCTCCAGGTTACTCCCCTGCAATGATTGGACAATGCGCAATGGGTGACAAAACAGCTTCACACATTTACTGCTCTTAAGCCTATTACCCCGCTTGAAGCATGATGGAATAATTCGGCTGGCTTGTGATTCAACAATAGTCTTCAAGGTGATGTAAGTTTTCACAGCACAGGTAGCTTTGATCTCAATTGGGGTTTAAATTGGTTATCACAACTGTAGCAGTTCATTTACTCACACGGCTTAGTATCGGGGCTTCCGCGTCACTCAAAGCACCTACTGTTCCCACGTACCCATGACTCTTAGACTATTTACAATATCACACTAAGCTGCAGGTGGTTCAGGGAATCAAGGATGCAGGTTCCAAGAAAATTTACCTGAAACGTGTCCTTCAGAGCCTTTTTGTCCCCAAGGTTATGCCAGAATACCTTCCAGCTGAAGGTTTTCGGCGGGTGAGCCATAAAAGGAATTACGATCATACAAACCCATATGAGGGCCAGAAACCCATTCAACAAAAAGACCCAGCGGATAAACGAGAAAGCAAGCATCATCGGAGAACCATAGCTGACCTCCATCTCTTTCAGTGACGCCAACCATAATTTATTGAAGACAGTTCCCTGCGTACAAGATGCAAGCTATGGTTGGACTTCCAACAAATGACCATCAGCCTCTGAATAACACGGAATCTTTGGACATCTCATATACATCGGAGCAAATCCCCGTCGTGCCTCCCGACTCCCTACGCTGCTCAGATAGAAGAGTCCACAAACCAAGCTAGGGCCTTCATACGTAACGGACAATAGCGCCTCTTACTACTTCATCAATCCGACCCACGACACACACAAAAAGTAGATTTAGTGGTTCCACTTAAACGTACTCCCAGTAATACCAGACGATCTGAAGAAGACCTGTAGTCCTAACGGTTTTAGTGTTGCCCATCATCATTTAGAAATTCGGTTCGAGGACGTACTTTGACCTCTCTGTCCTTCCAGATCGGATTGACCTCCCAGACCAATGTGTTGGGAAATTACTATGAATCATAAACATTTTAACAAGCTCAAATTCCAGCCAATCAATAGTTCTAGCCAGTCTCAAAGCATAATTTCCTATTTTGTAATCACCTACCTTCCCCATCATTCTCCTGCGTTCTCTTTCATACATCCAGCGTCGGAAACGACCAAAGCAGTTGTTCTTGAAGCTTCTCCTCTTCTTTGTAACCTCAAATGTGAGCATCGACAATCGGGATTTTGCTTTCTGCACAGTGCTTAGCACCTAGCCGCGAGCATCCCAACCATTCTGTCAGAGATGTCTTCAACAATGACCGACAGTAGGCAAGAGTAGGTTGTAACTTCCATGCTCATTATACGGCTGATTTTAACATCAAACGGTATTAGTGGTACAGCCAATGATGTTAACACAGGCTAATGTGTAAATGCAAGAACTCACACGTATGATAAGATTTGTACTCTCCAACGTGCTGAGCGTTTGTTCAGCAAAGATGCTAAGAACTTTATTTAAATTTTGTAGTAAATGCCAATGCTGTGAATCTAAACTTCTAGGGTAAACCGACCAATTTGCCTGTGCGAAGCCCCAGGTCAAGTCCGATCTATCATGGTGCTCATTTTGGAAACATGGCTTGTAGAAGCAGGAGCTACGTGAGTCACCGACCTGGGTTCGCCTTTTAAGAATAGCTTGACTTGCGGCTGAGTTTGGATCACCCGCACCCGGTCCCTTTTGTCGCTGAGAAGCTGCTGCAGCTTTTCTTTTTTGAAGAAAATCCGCCGCAGAGTCTAGGGGGTTAATCTCTTCTTCCCTATTAACTGGAGAAAGATCACTAGCTGCATTCGGAAGATTTATACCGATAGCAGGTATGTTGAATCCATCAATGTGTGGAGCAGATTGAGGAGGAGAAGAGCCCAGCGGTGATATAACCGGATACAAAGGATTCGTCATCAGCGAGACGTCTGATGGTACTACACCTGTAAAAGCCCCTCCGACGTTTACGCTTGAATTCGGATGATTGAACGTCGAGAAATTATGTGCGGCCCCTCGCTGTTGGCCACTGCTTCCTGGCTCCTGCTGTTCCCGATCTGGCGATATTCCTAGCCGTGGCGTCTCGTCCTCGCTTGAAGAATCAGAGTGTTGCTGTGCCGTTCGTGCCGGAGAATTAACCTCACCCACCAGGGGCGACGAGCTGATTCCTGGGACATCTCCAAAGTCCAGACCAGGCGAGGAACCTAAAGTAGAAACAAGGGGTGAAGGACTCAATTGTGGACTGCTTAAGGCGGCTGAAAGGTTTTGTAGAGAAGCGGTATACGAGGATCTTCTTGGTGTCTTTTCGTAAGCCAACTGTTTTCCATAGGGACTCTCCTGCAATCTCGTGCTAGCCCGCACGGCATAAGGAGGGCCGGTAACAAATGCCACCTCAGTTGCTGGATTTTGACTCTGACTTTTACTCGGAGTCTTGGTCAATGTGGCATTGCGGGAAGCTGCTTTGCCATCGAATACACTGGATATAGAAGACGGAACACCACTTGCCGAAGTTCTCCTCGTCGAAGCGCCCACGTTAGAAAGACTTGTTCTCGGAAGAGGGACGGCTGGGTCGGGAACAGGGGCTCGCTTCGATGGGGACGAGGAGCTCGAGCTGGAGACTTTTTTGGAGGTCGAGCTGCTAGCGGAATATTTCCGTGTGGGAGAAGTAGAATCTGAACCCTTCGCCCTGAAGACTGTAGCTTTCAATATTTTCTCAGCAAATGATGATGCCATTTTGACTTTGCACAGCACCCTGATTGTCTCTCCAAAGACTTGTGTCGAATAAGTACCTAACGTACCGTCCAGTCTTCCCCAATGAAACTCGTCAATGGTAACTAGATCTCAAAGCCAGATTCTCACCAACTTTCAGTATCCTTCCATCCAGTCGACTGACAGCGCCTGAACCAACCAGCAATGTCCGCACCAAGGGCGTATAAGCTCCCGGCCACCCACACCAAGAGTGTACCGAGACAAGAGAGGAGACCATATCCGTACATGTGATGCGAATCTACAGAACTGTCTGCGCGTCCTTGCTCTGAACTTCGTCATCCCTGATAAGTGCTAACACAGCTCTCGATGGATGCCAGCCACCAGGTCTAAGAGGACTACTTCTCTTCACACGGACTCCGAAAAACCCAACCACGTAGCGGCGAAGAAGTGCTGACAATATTCCCGCTTGACCACTTACTGAACCTGATAACGAATGTTGCTGTGAACTTCGGAGTCCTATACTCTCAATTCTTCAAGCAATGCGCCGAACCCAGTGCAGAGAGTTCCGCATTCTCAAGGCTTAACGCGTGATAGATGATTCAAGATCACTTCAATATCATAGCAAAAGGCTATTTCAATAATAGACCTCAACGGAAAGCCGTTTCATTCAGTCCGAGTGGCGCAAGAAAACAAAGTTTCTGCCAAATGAGTTTTACGAGTTCTCATGCAGAAATTGTACCCAGAGCCGAAAAAGAAAGACACTCAGCAAACTGCAAGGAAAACGAAAAGACATGCGTCGCAGCACAGAATTTCACTTGTATGCATGCTCATCACCGAAAGCACTGAAACGCGAAGTGGGCACGACGGTGGTGGACACGGAGAAGGGAAAACACCTCAATCGAGCATCGTGATCGAATCGGGAGGAGAACGAATCCCAGAAACCGCCTGCTTTGCAGCCGAACAAGTCGACGACGGACGAGAAGCAGATACTCGCACGAGGAGACCAAACGCGAGGTTCTCGACCGCGGAACAAGCGCAACAAACTCCTCGTACCAAATTCTGCGTCTCGTCCATCGCCCTCAACAACAAAGCCTGCCGACGAACTCTCCAAATGCCGCCCCTCGACACGACGATCTCCCGAGCCCAACGCCGAGCGAGCATTTCCGAAATCGCAACAGCGCCCGCGGGCCGAGTCCGCCATGCGCGCCCGGCGAGCCAGAGAGCGGAGTACCAGCACAATGAACTGCGTCGACGACGGAGCGAGCCTAGTTCGCATTCACCAGGCTGGAAGGTCCGCCCGGTCGCGATAGTATGAAACCAGGTCGTGGGCCGAAAGCCATACACAGTTGACACTGGAGCACGATCATTGCACGCGCGAGTAACTTGAGCGGTCGTTGGCTCTGTCCTTGTAGCCAGCTGAAGACCCTGAGCTACTGCAGCAGCACTGACGTGGTCGCGACCCTTTTCCGCCTCCAGTTATTGTTGTTGTAGCCTTCGTCGGGAGGTCGGTGACCGAGCACATGACAACGGGGGGCTACATCTTCAGCGGATATGATGCTATCGCACCAACTCACACAAATTCGCACCTACATGTACCGAGCGCCATAGACTTGGAGGAGAACAATTAGCGCCATCTTCTCTGCTTAATCAGCAACTGCTTATTTGCTATTTTATTTTCATAGTTTTCCTACTCAACATGAAATGATAGGAAGAATTTTTTCAGCACAATGATAACTCTCTTCCCAAATTTTTTCTTTTTACACATTGAGCCGAAAACGATCATGAACCCCATATTCATCCATTATGATTCATTAATATCGGCTCATCTGTTGGTACATCATTAAAGGAAGTTTAACTTGATTTAACTTGATACAGTTTGAAAGACTTTTGAGTATAGGCATCAATTTCATCGAAGGTAAATATGTACGATTTGTAAACCATCACTGAAACAATCGAAGTAGATTCTATCGGATGTAAATAACACTGCAATAAGATCTATTTTTATATTTTCAAAGAGGATAGAAATATCCATAAGCTTTAATTCGAAAAGTACTGCTAATCTAAACAATCAATGTGATTTATTTTTTTTGAATTCTATCTTCATATTATCTGTGACGTCCCAAATCACACTAAATACTATACTCATTCTGCTTTTGTGGTACTTTTTATCTTACATCACACAATTACTTAATTGATTATCGATATTTTTATACAAAATTACTAGCAAAAAAATATATCTTGAAAGTGTTTTTTAACACTGTGATAAATCATTTCCAATATTAGATAAAAAATATGCAACTAAAACAACGAAAAATATTTAGTATTTCATTACTTATACTAAATTGTGAAGATATCCCTTGATTGACTTCGTCTACTGAAAAATATTTTAGAGCTTTCTGTGAATTATGCTAAGTCATCTTAGCCATATGACAGGCGCTGATGGTAAAATCAAAGCTTAACACATTCACACTATCGCTAGACTCTCTCGAGTTTTGCTGCATCGTAATTAATGCCATGTGTTTGCATAACTAATCGTCGCTACGAGAGTAAAGCAGCAGGTGACTCAGTGACGCATTGTTCACTCCGATCTTATTCGTTATTCGTGCATTGCACATCTCCAGCTTACAATCCCAAATCAAATCATGGCCAAAAAAAGTCCACAGTAAAAGAAGTCGAAATGCAAAGCTCTGGAGTGCAATCGATCGCGCAGCCGCTTCTGGACGATGCAGAACAGCACCGATCAGCTTTTACTACGGAAAGAAACCCAGTGTCTGCTTTAAGCGTTTCTTCTCCGTGCGTGCTCTCGGACCGGCGGTCGGACGACACGGACCGACATCTCGAACGAAACCGAAAGATTAAGCTAATATCCCATGAAATTAACGTCCGCATCAGCAAGCACGGATGATGAGGCTTTCTTCCGCGGCGATGTGTCAACAGCCGACCCAGCATGTTAAGCACAGCGGGCGTTCTAAATTAGCGACGATCAGCTATGGGGGACATCCGTTCGCGGGAAGGGCGTTGCTAAAATAAGAGAGGCGGAGCTGCCGCGGTGGTACCGCCCCGAGATGGAGCCGACAGCCCACCAAGAAGTCCGGGGTGCAGATTCAAATGCCCGCGCACTCATGACTTGCGCATCTCGGTCGAATGCGGCCAAAATTCAATCCACATGCTCATTCCACGGGAATGAACAGTCGGGCCGGCAGTCCAGCTCACGACCGACCTGGTAGCTGCAAGCGGATCCGGTTGGCCCTGGAGCCGGCGAATTAATAATCATTCTTCGGAAGCTCGAAAGTCCGCAGCCTAGGACTCTATTCACGGGAATCACCGAATTTTCCGAAGCGCAGCGGCTGTGTGATGAGGCCACCGTAGCCCGGGCCTTAGGTCCTACTTTGGTGGACGTGGTACACTAATTAAGCTCCTCATCCGGCGCCCCATTCCCCGTTACGCTTCCTGTGCGTGCATCCATTTCAGGTTCGTGCGCTGCTGTCGTCGTTGGTCACTCTGGAGTTCGTTTGTCAGCTCCGCTCGTCTGCTTGTGAGGAGCTCTCTCCTCGTCGTTTATTCCTCCGGAGTATGTTCCCTTGCCTCCCCGATTGCGCCCGGCGAGTCTGTCAGTGCGCGGTGACGGCAGGCAATTTGCTCTCGTCGCCTTTCTCTCACGTGCTGCTTTCCTTCCTTCCTTCCTTCCTTCCTTCTGTCCTTCTGTGAGGCCTCTCGATTGGATTTAATTGCCCGCCCGCCGATGGAAGAGCGAACATTTTGCCCTGCCTGCCTGCCCTTTGTGTAATGATTGCTGGGTGTGCGGCTAGTTGATCAGTAAATTGCACATTTTTGTTGAGAGCTACGCAAGATGTCCTGGTCTGACTCCCGAAGCAAGGAGCCTTGGAACAGAAACCTGGGACTGGAGGTATGTTGCCAGCAACATGCTCGGCCCGCACGGAGGTCACTGATTGAGTCGTGCTCGGGTCTGGTCGTGGGGCGATCGGTAGGCACCTTGTCCTGATTGCCTCGATTTCGGACGGGATGGGATACCGTCTCTCTCGTAGAGTAGAGTGGCAAGTTGCTTCTGAGATTATCTTTTTGCACCAGATTTCAAGTCTCCGTTTTTATCGACGGAACGTGTGGAGGTCTCGATGACATTTACCCGTTGGTTGGTTTAGATCGTCTCGAGGACGCTCGCGCTTTCTTTGTATGCCACTTCCTGAACTGTATGCAGCCTTCGTTATAATGTTTTTGTTTCCTCGATTGCTCTATATTGGAGCTACTCTGAATTAACGGCGCGTCCCAGATATGACTTGTCGATTGCTGAAAAAAAGATTTTCTTAGATTTTTGGCTCCCAGTTTTGTTGTTTGATTCATGACCATACTCAAGACGTTCCTTCCTACGGTGAGGTTTTTGAAAGTTTAGAACAGAGCCCTGAACAGATCGTTGCTACCTTCTCCTCTGAGATGATTTTGTCCTTTGGCCGTCTCTCTGATGGCTGCTCCAGCAGAAGTCTTTTTATTTTTCCTTTTTTACAAGCACAGAGTCTTGATTTTGGCGATCACGTCGCGCAGCTTGATGAGCAGTTGGTAGGGATTTCATTTTTCTATGGATCTACTACTCTTACTCTCTCGTTCTCTCCCTTCGAAGTTTGCCACAAACTAAGGCAGGTTCTTTATTGCAAGCATAGTGATGTGAGATTTACCTTTAAATAGAAAGTGAAAATTGTTGATCAATATCGGGTATTATCCATATGAAAGACCACATGTTTGGGCCAGCTTTTGGACAGGTTGCCAAAATGTGTCAGCCTTTCAGTGGGCACCTTGCAGCAGCTCGGTGACCTATTTTTATAAATATTTTACTCTGTGAATTTCCTGTTTGCATGAAGTTTCGTTGTCTGTCATCAGCCAAGGCTGAGATTCAGAGTATGTTCTATTTTAAAGACTTGTCCCCAGCGTGTTTAGAATACACTTGGATCTAGCGACGAGAAGTTAACTCACCCTGAAATTATATTTTTCTTTTTTTATAAGCTAAGCATGGCTCCCAAAGCCTGAACGTGTGGATTTGTTTTCTGATACGCGGAATCTGTTGATGACACACAGGAATACGCATGTCACAGAAATAATGTGTGGAATCAGTAGAAGAGAACCTGTGGGAGGAGTACGTTCCAGATCTGTTTCGTTCTTCCGCATCTTGAAGGAGATGCTTTTGTCTTAAACTATTAGGAGCAACAAACTTACAGGTAACTAAGCTCGTTTGCGTTTGAGATCCTCTCCCAGAACTTGTTTCACTATTTCTTGTGTTCTATACGAATTTGCCTTGCATGTGAAAACTATCAATGTATGGACCTTTATATAACAGTCTGTCACTGGACCTAGACTTAATACCGGTTGGCTTTTCAGCTTGTTTGATTTTGAGACACTTTGAGGAAACAAAGAAATACATTTCTTATTTGAAATTTTTTACTTCAGTTTCAGTGAATCTTCTTACTAGCAGGGACTGTTACTATTAAACGCAATATTTTACATGCTACACAAGTCTTTTACCCTAGTGGTGTCCTGCCTCAATTGTTCTAAAATATGACTGGAAGTGGCTATCTGAATCTATCATGGCTATTTTCCACAATAGGATATTTGAGGCGCAAAAAAGTGGCGGACAATAGACATGCGGGTACCTTGGGGAAAGTTGGGAGCCCTATCTCATAAAATAAATCCATTAGGGGCTTTGTCACAAAGCCATCATCAACATGGCGCAGCGCCTGATTCTTCCAGAAATGGGAACCCTCCCACCAATAACACTCAGACTACTCCGACTCCAGGGGCTCCTAAGAGCAGGTGGAACTTGAGGGCTGTAAGCCGAATGAAGCGATCCAACTCATCAGGCAAAGCAGGGCTTCAGCAAGAAAATGAGGACAATGTGAAAGTTGACATAGTGGAAGAAGAAAACTCCGATTTGTTGGGGGAGATTGTAATGACGGGTACTCTGTCACTGCCTGGGAAGTTGATTCATTCATCTACAGAGGTGACTGCGAAACTGACTTCGAAAGCCTTTTTGTGGTCTCTGCACTGCATACGGTTAGAGGACATTGTTGCGGTATGTTCTGCATAACCTTTCCGACTTTTTAAAGTGCTATTTTGTGCGGAACTGCATTCCCTTTCATTCCCTCGTACGAAAAACCTTCTAGACTGATGTTGTCAGTGATATTAAGTTTATGGGGTATGAGACTGCGTAGCCCAATGTGTTCGTTCGACCGAATGTTTTGATGATAGTAACCGGCAAATCATGAGATCGGATACAGAAGGCTTGAGGGACAAGATTTGAACGAAAAGGCTTTGCTTTATTAGAATGATCTTTAAGGGTGCAGCTGGTGATGGCAGGGTTGTTCAATTCAGTCTACAGCCCTTTGTTTCCAACGTAAGCCTTCTTTTACTTACGATCTTAAATTTCCTCATATTACTCTGTGTTGTTTTAACCGTCCCGGAACAGGTCTCTTGTTATGAAGACAGTCAACGGATCACTATTCATTCATACGCGTTCGTGAGGACGAGATGGGTACCTGAAACTTTTGGAAGAGCGCGCAGATGCAGAACAGATCTGCACTTCACCGCATCTACAGTAGAAGAGGCACTGGGATGGGTTGCTGCCTTTGCACAACAAGGCTGCTATATCCAGTTCCTTCCTCATCCCAACTCGTCCAAAAAGGGTTCTGCATCAACTGAGACTACCACTCCGTCAGCAGCGAAAGAAGCAGTGAAGTGTCGAGCATCTCGAGAGATGCTGGTAGTTTTAAATCCAAAATCCGGAAGGGGACGTGCTCGCAAAGTCTTTCGCAGTAAAGTTCAACCAATTCTCGAGGTATATATGGTTTTGCTCTCTTGTTCTCCTGTAGATTTCGTACGGGGCAACTAAGTTCTTTAAATGACTATTGCTGATAAATTTAAAAGAGGTGACCGTTAATCTCTACACCAAGAGAGTACGCTCCGGGAAGCGGTAGCTGGGCAAACTGTTAAAAGAGTGTGGACTTAAGACGCAGCTGATTGCTGGTTAAAATTAAAGGAAGAAATACCTCAATGTTTATCAATTATTAGGCTGCAGTAATTGAATATATGAATCACGTAAATGTTCTGGAGTTTCAATGAACCGACATCTTCTTGGGCGTATGCCGGTTATTGATGTAACTTGGACAACTGAACATCTTTCTTCTCGTTCACTAACATATATCGTCATGTACTTCTTCAACTTTTGTCAATCCCAAAGATACTATCCATGGAGTCAAAACTCAATTTTTTGTGTTCTATGCATACGTCTTTCTCATCTTGTTCATCGTTTCCTCAACTTCAGTCGGTTCTTACTGTACTTTCATTGGTACTAGGAAGTTTTGCATAATTTCTTCTTCTCCGTGTTTGCATATCAGTTGGACCGTAATGCAGTCGAGCCTTCCTTTGTCTTATGTAGTTTTGTTTTCACAGCTGGCAGGTTTCAAGCTGCATGTGGTAGAGACAACGGGCGCGAGACATGCCCAAACAATGGCAATGCAACTAGACCTTGCATCTTGCCCTGATGGTACTTTTTTCAATCTTGAAGCAGTCTATTTTGTGCAAACAGTCACTACTGCAAGATCACATTTGGGATTGGGGGTCGCGGAGATCGTTTGTCTAGCCACGGAAGGAATTATTTTCTGTGAGATGAATTTTCGTTTGATCATCTTAGCGCGGTACAAATCTTAAGATCTGAGTTTTGCTGTCTTAATCTGGAAACATTTCATGGTACAGAGCATGATGGCAATAACGATAGTTCACCAGTGAAGACTTTAGGAATAGGCCTGAGAGTGTTGCTCATGTCATGCTCACAGAATTCGTCCAAGAAGTGGACGAATTCTGTGTTGCACCATGAAATTGTTGATTTTCGCTAGTATCTTAAAGCAAGTTGGAGCAACAAAAGCTGTTAACCAAAATTTTAACGGCACTACCGAAGCAGATTCAGTTGAAAACACCTCTTTCTCTTAAAGTCCAACACTCATCTTATGTCCATCTTTCTGTCAAGCTTCTTGTCAGTCGCCGTGGGTGCTTAACCCGATGAGACGCATCCGACTATATATCCTCAAAAGAAACGAGTGTATACTTCACTTGCAGTAAAGTAAACTCGTGGATCTCAGTATTCTAAGAACTTGGGCAATATCTGTCGCAGGTATCATATGTGTTGGAGGTGATGGCATTATTAACGAGGTATGAACCAATGTTGACTGATGGAAGCGTTCAGGAGATATTAGTCTTGAATTCGATAAACATCACCTTAGTACTTATCATTTGTCGCTCAGCCGATGTGCCAAATTTCCTTGAGGAAGAAATGCGGACTCTGTGCAACATAATAACGCAGTCAGTTCAGTCTAACATCGAGGTCATTTCTATGCAGGTGTTGAACGGGTTACTGAGTAGAGATGACGCTGATCAGGCTTGTACTACTCCTATTGGAATTATACCAGCAGGTTCCGACAACTCCCTAGTGTGGACCGTTCTAGGTGTGAGGGATCCTACAACAGCTGCTCTTGCCATTGTGAAGGTCTGAAGTTGTTCGCTATACCTATTGCCTTAGTTGCCTTTTAGTTGTTATGGTTATTAGATGATGGTTGACGAACACAGTGAACTCCGGGTGTATCACAGGCTTGTCTTTCTTTGTGTTGCTTACTAAAACTCTAATTCTAATTGAACTAATATAGAGTTCGAAATGCTAAGAACATAGGACAGGATTAACTACTTCGAAAAATTTTCCTTTACTTGAGCAGTTCTCGACTCTTACTGTGCACACTGGACCAAGTTTGCAGACATCTCTTGACTCTCTTGGTTTCTGGCAGAAGTACATTTCTGGTCAGTGAATGTAGCAGTGGTCAACAGACTGCAAGACTGGTCTTATTGTCTCCAGTATTCTTTTCCTGGTTCCATAACCACAGTGATCCATAGACATCTTTTGTCCTATCCAGTCTACGAAGAGAAAGCTGGAGAAATTGTTGTTGGCAGGATTCCTTTGCATTAGCCCATGTACTTCAGGTGATGAGAGAATCTCTCAGACTACCCACTGTTTACTTTTAGAATGAATGAATGGCCACTTAACGTCCACGAGACAGCAAAGGGGATGTAGGACATGTAGATAATGAAGTACTAGGCTTGTTGGGTAGCTACTTTTGCGACGACTGAAGTTTTACTAGTACATTAAATGAACATCTTAGGGGTGGACGACTGGTTTCATGACTTCCATCTTTGGATACGTCGGCTAGGTTTGCTAGATTGTTAAACTTATTAACTTTTCTGTATGTGACATCGCGCCTGCTCATTTCTAGCGAAGTTTTTGATACGACTGAAGCTTACTGAAATCTAGGATGACTTATTATTTCTTTCCGAAATTATGATACCTCTGAAGCTAACGAAATATCTGGGATATCTGTTTCTGCAGGGTGGATTAGTAGCAACAGATGTTTTTTCAGTTGAATGGACGAAGACAGGTGCGACGTATATGGGCCACACTGTTGCTTACTACGGCTTTATGAGTGATGGTAAGCTTTTTCAACTTCTCTGACCGCCTTTGGCTAACTTTCACTTGATTATATTGTTTTCGTAAGCTTTATCTACGGCTGTATAGCTCAAACTAATACTGTTTAGCATCGATAAACTACCGAAACTTGAAGTAGCTCATGGCTTACAGCGTAGTCTTTATACAGCTTTTTCAAAGAGAGCAGGGTAACCGTCTCATATGGGACGAGTTGAGAGATTCAATAATGGCGAGATTTCATAATCTTTATCAGTTCAATTGTTCTTTCCAGTTTCTCATCCTTTCAATGTGTCGTATGTATTGGTGTGTCAGTACTGGAGTTGTCAGCCAAGTATCAAGGTAGATTTGGGCCCTTGCGGTATTTTGTTGCCGGTGTTATTCGACTGTTCAACCTCCCGAAGTACAAGTGCGAGGTTCAATTTTTGCCAGCAGAGAATCCCTCTGTTGAGGTTCGCATCGACAAATTAGAGGATCCCGTAGAACACCAGTTAGAGACTTCGGAGGATAAAGGACCTGTTTTTGACAGCGAGTCGGAAATTGTCGCAGAACCAAGATTGAATAATATCGGTAGCCTGCCTAATCATGAGGGCATTATGGGTTCTCCGGCCAAGTTGACAGTTGAAGTCGATCTGTTTGGACCCTTGGACGCAACGAACGAACCCTCAGATTATGTCAGAGGACTAGATGGGAAGACGAAGCGATCACCTTCGGCAAGCAGGTTATCAGCACCAGGGTCCCTTGAAGAAGCCGTTGCAGTTCACCCCATGGCCGCGGGAGCTAGCCCCTCCCCACGATCTCGATCCAGAAGCAAATCACGCTCAGATCGTGGATTATCAGTCTTGAGTGCCATGGCCCCTAAACCTTTGCGAAAATCGAAGTCATCACAAAGAATTGTAAATGCCGAAGCAGGTGTAGTTCAAAGTTGCTTGGGTGATAACATTGCGAACAGTTTGGGGAGGAGATGGGGCCCCTTGGAAGGTGCATTTGATTCAAAAGCAGGAGTTACGGCTACAGTACAGTCGTCTACTAAGCCTCGTGAGCCCACCGCTGAAGATTGGGTCGTGAGACAGGGCCCATTTCTTGGAGTTATGATTTGCAATCACCAATGTAAAACAGTTCAATGTTTGGAAACACAGGCGATGGCTCCTCTAGCAGAGCACGATGATGGCACCATGGATCTGCTAATGGTGCGGAGTGTGGGTCGCTTCAAGCTTCTCCGCTTCATTATAGCCATGCAGTTTAATCGTCACCTTTCCCTACCGTATGTGGAGTACATGAAGGTAAGAAACTATACTCAACCATATTACCTCAAGAATTGGCTTGTTGTTGTGATTCGAAATTTCGTCATAATCTGGACTTTTTTTTACATAGTAAACATAGGAATACATGCATAGAAATATTTGGTCGCCTCAGCCTATATAAGTCAGATCTCTGCCTACGTGGGTGGAGGGAAGAGGAGTCATGGGCCGGTAATTTTATTCCATGATTTGAGTGTCTTTTCTCACCCGTAATAATTTTCAGCTCTGGACATGTAATATGTATACTTCGTGAGGCTATTGATAAAGGCACAGGATTCGAAGACAGTATTGATGGCTGAAGTACTAATCGCAACTCTTTTTCCATAACAGGTGAGGTCAGTGTCATTAGAACCCAGTAAGAAGGGACATCTTAGATGTGGTATAGATGGTGAGCTGCTGACATTGGATGGGCCCATTTTGACATCAGTTCTGCCCTATCAATGTCGTCTAATTGGTTGTGCGAAGAAGCGCTCTTAGTACTCACTCTATCTGAGTCAATGGGCATTGGCGTAATTCAACTATTTTGTGTAGGTAAATGTCATCCATTATAGATGTCCCGATACTTAAAACATCTGATATATTGGTAGATAGAATACAGCTGATTCTTTTGCAGCTGGTAGACGGTAGGAGATATTGCTGTCCTCTGACCACCTTTCTGGGAGAGGCACCGTAGGGCTTACAAAAGAGGCCTCTCACAATAAGGCAGCCAAGGATAGAAAGACAATTGTGAATATGGATAGACTGTCTTTGTTCATGGATGGCATGTAAGAGTAACGGGCTGAGTCATGATTGACAGACACAAATGTGTCATGGACGTTGTAGACTAGGTTGTAACATTCTGTGTGGGTTCAATATAAACAAGCCTGCTGGAGGATTTTTTAGTACTGGATCAAATAAAACTGGTAAGTGCATGTACCTAGTTGCACACCTTCTTCTCACCACACTGTAGTATGATGTGTGTCATCAGCATTACTTATGTACTTGGAATGGGTCGGTGCACTCTTTGCCCTGTAGAGCTTACCGCACGATGCCAGTGTTCAGACATACCCATGAGAAATGTGTGGGGACAGGGAAGCCCAACTTCGCTCTCCATTGTCATCGTGTGTTCCTGTCAATCAAGATTTAAGACACTTGTAAGTGGTTGTGCACAATAGCGCCTGTAGAAGGTGGGATGGTGTCCATGATTCTCGTTTGTGGCAAACTAATACAGTGGTTAGTGAATGAGGACCTCGATCCATGTGCATCACCAGGTACCATTCCAGTTCTTAATATCCCTTACCCTTGTTAAGGTTTTCTTATTCAATGTGGGGATCAGGAAAGCAGTGACGACATTGCAGAATTTGGCTTTGAGGACCGACGCAGGTGAAGCAGCGCATTATACATTGTAGTCGTTCTGACTGTTTACCTGTCGAGAAAAAGTCCACTGCTTCGCCCACCGAATGTGCTGCCATGAAATAGAACCAAACCACAAAGGCTATGTATAGAGCTCGTTTCACTCTCCTGATGGAACTTTATTTTTTACAGAACAACTACAAATTGGAGTTTGCTGTGTCCAGAAAAGGTTTATTTGAGGAAAAAAACTTGTTGTCAGGAAGTCCCATGCTCAGGTCACCAGTGGGTTGAGAACTTCAAGCTTAATTAGCTTTTGCCCTAAAGCACACTGACAAAGAAGCTTTTCCAGAGAAGAAGGGGAGGGTTCTTGGGGACCTGACGAGGATGAATAAAGACGAAATTCTCATTCTGATTCGGTCAAAAGTTTAAAATCTTCTCATTACGAGAGAATCCTCCTCCCATCAAAGGAGATTCATCGGGGGATGTTAAGAATACGCATTAGAGTACAGAGCACCGAACGCGATATGAGATCTGCTTGCAGTTGCCGCAGTCTAGAAAGCATTTAATCAACACTCCCGGGATTCATTAGAAGGAACGCAGAAAAGCTGAACAACCCCATGTATTTTACAATTTACCGTAGAAAGGGCCAGTATTGATACCGGAGTAGGCTAGCGGTGTCCCTCATTATGGTAATCCGTTAGTTGAGTGTAGGTCAACGCGGCGATTCGGCTTCATATGAAGTCTTGGGGACCTGACTGTAAGTCAAGAGTATATACTGTGGGTCAAAAGGACTTTCAAATAAATAAATAAATATATATATATACACATATATGTGAATCCACATATTGCTTTAGTAAAAATGGATCTTGTCCTACGCAGGTGGTATGAAAATTTGGTGGATTGTTATGCTCGTTTTGCCGAGCCAAGTACAGCGGTAACGCGTCGGAGCATCGAAGTGCGGGTTGATCTGCCCCAGACGGATGTGGTTCATAGCCAGATATAGAAGGTCGTGTGAACTTCGCCCCAGCTCAAGTCTTGAAGGGCAACTGCTGGCAGCCCATATTCCGGGTGTGGACAAAAACAATACCCGGGGTTATGAAAGGATGGCTAGATATTTTATGCTGCGCCCATCGCACGGTCTAGGCTCGGGTGGAATCTGCATGTGTTCTCGACGTCGAGACTTAGACTAGTTCTTCGCCTGCCTGCACTCGAAATTGCAGTGATGAACTTACCACAAAAAGAAAGCAAAAAGTGTGGTGAATCGAGGGTTGTCTAAATCCAGTCGCGAACTGCTATGCCATGGGAGCCTTTTGTATGAATGGCAGTACTGGAAGTGGAGCGATGCTGCTATCCTGATCCTACTGGAGGAGGAAGTGGAGAGCCTTCAGTTCGTCTGGGGACAAAGACAAGAGACGGAGCTGCTGCGAGGATAAAGATAAAAAGGGGTCTCAACATCCAGGCTTTCCCAGGGGAGAAATCAGACATGTGGCAGAAACGTGGGTGGTCAAGGACTCAAGCAGGCAGACGGTCAGTCCAGTCCTTCGGCTCCCCAGAGTCCCCCCTCCCTCTGCCTACTTGCCTGCCCTCGAATTGTTCCGGACAACTTCCAGTCGCTTGTAGCAGCGCGAAAGGGCATGTCTGCCTGCCTCTCATGCGTGCTCCAGCGCAGCGTCAGGTCAAAGAATGCAGCACCTTGGTTTTCCTTCATCCTCATCCTTCTCCGCGCTTTTTTAAAGCTGTACTCGATCAAGGATTCTTTCCTCCTCTTGCTTCTTCGAGTCTGGTATTCTTGTATCACCAATGAAATCACAAACTTTCTGACCTACTCTCACGAATTTCACATGAATTTCGTGAACAAAGATTCATGGTCTTGTAGAACCGATCATCTTTATTTTTCTCCGAAATATTCAATGACATAGGTAGAGTCTGCAGAAATCTCTCATTAAATCTTTGCAGAACTCGTCTGCATCAAAATCATTGTGAGCTTGTGAAGTAATCAAATCGGTCCTTGCACAAATAAAGGTGGGCACTGAGGTCAAGTAACAAAGACAATTTGGATGCTGATTTTGAGGATAGGAAATCGAGTCCAGATGCAACAAGAACAGATGGAAGCAGATCATGCTCCTGAAATACACGTGACGCATGACTCGCCTCCGTCACTGGCTCGGACTCAGCAGGTTCACTTTCTAACACCCAAGGGCTGCGTTCAATCTCATCGACCCGTACAGAGTTAGCATCTCCCAACACAACTCAGGTACACTTCACTCGATGCACATATATTCCGTTGCCTTTCCCAAAAACAAAAAATTACTTAAATTGGTGGACGTCTTACTATCAAGCTGATCTACAGAAGTATGCATAGTTTGGGTTTAACTGCCCATCTTATTCTCAAATGGTGGAGCTCGACAGCGTGTCTTGCAGAAGTTTCGATTTGAGGGTGTACGTTATTTATAACGATAGGTGACATGAAACAAAGATACCTCAATAATTGTACATTCAATAGAAGAACCTTGTGTTTATAATTTTATTGCATGCATAATTTCAAACATTATTAAGTAAACTCTGCCATGTGCCTATGGTGCAACTTTTGATTCAATGGGTATTCATTTTCTTCTAGGTTCACCGGAGAGAACCTTGAGGTTTTCAAAGGTGCGGTGGTACACATTCTTGGCCTCTAACAGTATTGGTAAGCGATTTTGATTCACCAACATGGAGCGGATATCACCAGATTGAGTATGGTTTCGATCACCATGCATCATGCATTTTACAAACCTTTAAAGATGTGATTTTGTTTTGACCGCTGCTCTGCATGCATACCGTACGAGTACTTTGATAAGGATGTGCATTACACTTGATGATCTGTTTGGTATGGTTTTATTCGAGATTTTTTTATATTCTTTATTATCAGTGGAATAGATGATACACCATGCTTTTAGACAAGTACAAATTGACACAGAAACCATAAGCATCCATATCTTTGTTGATGATTTCATATTTGTTAATAGACATCAACGATCTCTTATGCAGCACTTTGAGAGTCTTCTGCTAGCAATGGTTTCGTACAGTCTCCACTAGATTTGCTATTTAGGTGGAACAAGACCACCACACTAGATTTACTGGAGCCTCCAATGCAAACCTGTATACACCTCTTAAGACGGTTATCATCTATCTTCTTAGTCCAATGACGTCTTTCAATTTTACTTCGGAGTTTCTTTACGAATAATTTCCCTATTGTTTGTTTCAGTCAAGATGCCCAAATATTCCTTTCTTATGTGCAATCTTGGATCTCCATTTTTACCTTCTCGCTTGTATTTAATTGTTGTTTTCTCGCTAGTGGTATGGTGGTAGTTGAAGTTTGTTAGCCACATTAGTTATTCTTTCTCTCTCAAGTTTGCAAGTTGAAGAATCAGTAAGATATGGGAAAAATCTTCTACGAAATAATAAAGATGATCTCCTTCGTACAGCATTATGGTAATGTTCTGGTCTAGTACTGTAGGATCTTAGTCGGAAAAATAGGGACGTAATCCAAGGAGGACAACCTCCTCATGAAGATTCTAAATCTACTACCTGGCCAATTTGTGAATGAATTTCCCTAGTAGATTCAACACACATATGTGGACCATGTACATAATATTATCCTGATTTTCATATTCAATATAGTAAATCTGAAACAGTCTCTGTCCAAACAAACGTTTTCACAAGATCATACGTTCATGTCATACACTTTAAATTTAGAGATCCATGTGAACAAATATAAATTTTATGAAAGTTTTAAAAAATAGCATATTTATTCGAATTGAAGTTTTATAAAGGAGTGTAATGATGTTAGTGTATATACACCCACACAGTATTAGTGATATACACCCAAGAAATGCTACACTATAGGTGAGCAATCGCTGTGCACCCGTGCTGCGCAGTTACTTGGGTGTATAGCGTGGCATTTCTTGGGTGTGTGCGATTTAAACTGCGTGGGTGTGTGTTGGGTGTATATACACTAAAATCAATATCACCTTTATAAAGATTAAGCGATAAGATAAGTTTAAAGTTTTGGTTTTGATTTTTTAATTATGATATCATTTCAGCTTATAGTTACATGAGAAAAATAACTTAAATGAAAGATATTATGCCCAAAGATATGTCATAGACGAAAAGATGTAAAAAAATTTGCCACTATTTTCCTCTCCTATGCTTATAAATTCAGCCAAAATCTGAATTTTCTAAATTAACTTGGAATGATTACACCTAGACTTAGAGTGATATGTATAGGATTCACTATATACCTAAAATTTTGGAAGAACACATAATTCATATTGCTAAATTTCATTTTATGATTCTAGTATTTATCTTTTCTTGAAGAAATCCGTATGTTAAAACTCATAAATTTAATGAAGAAATTTTCAACTCATGAAGATATGATAGAACTAAATTACATTATCTTGCAAAAATATAGTTTTGGATCAAAAGTGTAGTGCTCAATGCTAATTATGTTTTCAAAAAATATATATGTAATTCTAAATATGAGGAAAAACCTTCAAATTTGAAAACAAATCAATTATCTGAAGCTGAACAAGATTTTGCAAGTCATGCACTACAATAAACTCAAGTTTTATCCCTAAATTATAAACTCATCATAAACTTATAAATCTTTGCTCTTGGGGAAATGACGCACTTAGTGAGATGAAACCGATACGCGTCAATTGCTGGTTGAAAACTATTTCCATTTCATTAATAAATAATGAATACCATTATCAATGGAAAGTGCAATCAAATTAAAAAATGAATGATTTATATCTAAAATATATTTAGATTTTCTAAATAAATTTTTTTATCCAAAAAATCATGAGGAAAATTCATAATTAATTACATCTCAAATCAAGATTATCTCCAAAAATCTACAATATAAAATTTAATGATCATAGTAACTTTTTTAATTTAACATTCAAATTGAAAATTATATTATATATCAGTGTAAAAATTTTTGTCATCAAATAATCATGAAAAAAATTCTAATTGATTAAAAATATTTAACTGATTTTCAACACAACTTAATTTTAATGTTTTAATGCAAATCTGTTATAGATCAAACTTCATAAATCATAAATCTATTTTGAGGTATCAAACAATTAATAATCAATTGAAACTGTATTTATGAAATCATCTCTACGATCAATGATGAAAATAATTTGTTAAAATAAAAAATACATTTTTTTATGTTGATGATGCTACATCTATTATCAAAGAGGAGAGGTAAAATTCCAAAATATATGTTTATCAGAAAATTTGTCACATATTTTACAGATTTTCACTCCTTTTATGTGTATTAATCATTATAATAATTAAAGACCTACTTTCATAAGCTTTTTAATTAAAAAAATATAAACAAATTATTAGTTAAAATTCAACAACAACGTCATGCAATTAAAAATATTGAAAATTTACAATCTAAATTATTTATATATATAAATATATTATCAAGATCAAAATATAAATTTTTCACATTTTTATTTTAATATCACAACCAAAAAAATCAAATTTATGATGAATTTTAGCTATTTAAGCAGATATTTAAAATATTTATTTTTGAGATTTTAAGAAATAATTTTTTGTTTCATACCTTCTCATGAAAAAAAAATTATTTTGTTTATATTATATGAATTATATATTAAAGATCATACGAAGTATTTTAGCCAAACTAAAAATGTCGGAAAATTGAATGCATGAAGATATCTTTCACCTCGTAGCGAGTGCTACAAGCAACTGGATTATATTAGAATATCAAAGTACAAAAATAGAAGATGCATAAGTAAAATATCATTCCATCCATATATACTGAGATGAAAAGTATCATGCAACATCTATTTTCAAAATTATTTTTTTGGCAAAACATATTAAAATGTTTGCATTAGATAAGTGTTTTTAATTTTATTTTATGAAGTAAAGTGCGAATATATGACATTAGAATATCACTTTACAAAGAAAACGCATATTGTAAAGATGATACACAAATAAAAAAAATCGCAATGATCCAAGTTTTGTTTTAAAGTCAGCAATATTTTTCATAAGAAAGTAAACAAGAAAATGATTTGCATCCATGGAAGCAAATTGAGTAACTTTTGATGATCTATCCTGGTACAACAAGTGATATTAGGATTTGAGCAAAAATTTGCTTAGTCAAATTATGAATTTCAAAATAGAGAAGTTTGAGGGAGAAATAAATGAATCCCTCTGGCCAAGATTATGATTTTCATTTAAATTGATCTCTATTAAACAGAATAGAACACCTTGGTTTACATTTTGATAATCAAAGGATGTTGCGAAAAATTAGATTTTAAAATCTCATTCAAGGTTCAAACATGTAGAAATTCAAAATCAACTTGTTTTAGAAAAAAACGACGGTTACTTTACTTATCAATGTTTTACATACAAGCTTTTTCTTAAGTTTTAAAATCAAAAGATAAATATGAGAGAATTCTTTTTCCTGATCTAACTTTTTACAATGGAGTAACATATCACTCACAAGAAGAAACTATAGTTTTAATACAACCATCTGATCTGTTCATGGCGAAGTATTAATATATGAACAAAATTCAACATTATGGACAGTCACGTCTGTTCATCACGGATTATTAATGGTTTTTACCTCTATTGATAAATATTTTATAAGCTCACAAACTTGAGACTATTCAGGGGTGAAACTTATCGAGAGAACATCAATTAGCGAGTATCCACAGTAAACTTACTTCCACAGTATTCACTTACTATGTGTTAATATGTGTTCCAATTATAAAACCTTGAAGTTACTTAGATGGAATTACAGAGGGTGCACTTTTCCAACCAAGGCTATTTGCCCGAGAACCAATATATTACTTATGAGAAAAGAGATTCTTTATTCTCCTTACAGCTGATAACTTCAGTACATATTTAGAAGATAAGAATACTGTATCATGCCCTGATAATGCTTCTAAACCACATCTTAGAAGTAATGGAACTTGTGGTATTATTGCAATACATCTTGATGTTTTAGTTTATCCCTCATATCGTTAACTGGAGTGCAAAAGCCAGTCGCGTTATTTGGGCCCTATTGGAACGTGTCTAAGTATCCTCTGCCTAGAAGGAAATCGATGTCTATTTTTGCAGGCAGATGGTTCTAGAACATTGCCTAGCTAAGAACATTTGTCCAGCTACCAGATGTTACCCGCCTAGTCAATCGAATAGGAGAGTACATATGAAGGGCACACCTCGTGATCATGACCCTATTCCATGGATATTGTTATCAATACCTGTCTAGACATTTAAAATCTTACTTTTTTTTTCAATGCAATTTCACATTGAAATATTCATGTCAAAATCAATAAGTCTTAGTTTCCATGGTGATAAATTATTGTAGCAAGAGAGACATGAAAAAATCATTTTATGCACAACGTGAGAGCCAAAAAAAAGTAAGACTAGAGTCGAGAACTTGACCAGCCAAACTGACCAAAGTGGCACATGACCGTAAGAAGATCAAACAAGTGGCACATACAACTTCAATAAATAGCGTAGAATATGACAAAGAGCTTATAATTCGGATATTCCTCGAGATACCAGAAAAATCTAAAATAAAACCTGCCGCAGGGAAGTAGTCCATGATACGTACTATGTAATGAGAAAGAATATGGCGACTGAAACCATGTGTTCTACATGAAAATATCTTTCTCCACACATGGTCTTGCATGCTACATACAGGTAGGACTCGACTGTGACTTTTGAAGTCAAGAAAAAGGTAGAATCTTTTCATTCACCTACATTCTGCCACTGTCTACGAAGCGTACTCATAGGCTGAAAGCAAAGCTGAAAAATATATGCTACCAAAGTTTGGTGACAACATTGTGAGAAAAATAATCAATATCCTCAGATCCGGGACGGTGCAGATTTGACCATTTTGCACAGCTCTAGGGAAGTACAAGACAGTGATATGTTATATACTTTACTTATTTCTTTATGAATAGAATTTGTTGGTTTAAGCTTTTGGACTGCAACTTGTGTTACACTGTCTAGGGATCTTCTACATTAGAACTAGATGGGAAAGAAATATGTTGAAGAATAGGCGGCAAGTGGAATTTCAGCAACCAATATTCCAATTTGAATGATACGAAGAGAATTTAGCTTTTGTTTTTTTCTCATCCGAGACAAATACGAGATCATTTGTTTAAAAAGAAGACGTCAGACATGAATTCTTGCATGAATCA